AAAGATCTTGCATAATTGCAGCCCTATCTCCCTCTCCACCTCACCTTCTGCCTCTTCCTGATCCTCTTCCTCTCTTACACGCTACTCACCTCCATGGTACCAGGTTTCCTCCTATTGCTGTGCCCTGGCATGTTGTCCTTCTGACCATGCCTGGTTAATTCCTGCTCATCTACTACTCAGATCTCGCATTGTGGACTCGCCCAGCTCCCGTGACTCTTTTTTTCAGCATCTCCCACAGTTTAACTTTGCATTTGAGTACAAATCTGGGTTTTTGTAAATGTGAACTCTGAGAGGGCACTGTGCTGTCTGTTTTGTGCACTCTTGGTTCTTTAGCACTTAGGCTGACCCCTGACACAGGAGGCCCAGTAAATTCCATCTCTGAGATAATTGGTAGGAAAAACGGACACAAAAAGCGGTGGGGTCCTTCTTATTTTAGATAATGGGTCCCCTTTCTTCTCCCACTGATCATTATTAATACCAAACCTTGAAATGCAACTCACATGAGGAGCCATCTGGTTTAATTTTGTGGGAGGAGGGGGCTGGAGGTGACTCACAGTCCCAGACAGCTGCTCCTGTGTGGCTGCAGTGGTGCTGGGGGGTGCAGAAAGCACTGTGGGGCCACTCAGGGCAGAAGTGTTTGGTGTGCTTGGGGAATCACTGAGGGAGTTTTTCAGGGGAGCCTGAAGTGATGTTCTCAAAGTAGGCTTTTTAGGCAGGGCTTGGTGGCATATGCCTGTAGGCCCAGCTTTTTGGGACACTGAGGTGGAAGGATTACCTGAGCCCAGTGATTTGAGACTGGGTTACTACTGCATGTAGCAGAATCCCATGTCAAAAACACATGAATAAAAAGGGTCATGTCCCTCTGGGCTTAGCCCCTCTCAAGGCTCCTAGGGACCCACTCATAAACTTTGCCCTAACCCAAACCCACCACCATCAGCTAGGCTCTTGTAAGGGGGCAGGGTGAGGGTGACACAGGGTCTCACTGTAGCACATGCTGGCCTGGAACTTGTGATTCTCTTGTCTCTACCTCCTGAGTGCTGGAATTACAGGCATGTGCCACCATACCTGGCTTTGTTTTTTTTTAATTTCTGAGTTAGAAAAATTTAAAAATCAGATTTCATACAGAAATCTAAGCTCTTGTCTTTTGTCGTAAATATGCTAGATACTAGGCCTGGGTTCCCGCCTGGCAATATTTATGTGACAATGAAATGGTCTGTGTCCTATCCCTTAAACAGCCATTTGAACTCAGGGCTTGGCACTTAAAAAGCAGGTGGCTCTACCACTTAAGCCACATCTCCCATCCTACCTTAAAAAGAAAACAAAAACTTCAACTAGATGTGCCAGTGTATGTGTTTTTTTCTTTTCTTTTCTTTCTTCTTCTCTTCTCTTCTCTTCTCTTCTCTGCTCGTATGGGATTGAACCCAGGGCATGCTGGGCAAGCATTCTACCACTGAACCACGCCTCAGCCCTGTGCACGGGTCTCGTTTGCAACCTTTGCTCTAGACCAGTACTGGCCAGTAGAACTTTCTGCAGTGTTGGAAATGCTCTGTATCTTCATTGCCCAACACAGTAGCCCCTAGTCATTTATAGCTGTCGAGCTACTTGTCTTGTGGCTAATATGGCCCAGGAACTGAAATTTTATTTTAGTTAATTTATATTTAAATGGCCATATATAGCTAACAGCTGTTGTATTGCATGGTACAACACCAGACATTAAAAATCTTATCTTAAATCAAAAAAGTACTTAAATTGTAATTCCACATTTGTTCTATGGTTTTCTCTTTAGTGAATTTTTTTAAAATCTTAGTATATGTCTGTTTACTTATTGGTAGCTGCATGTTTTATGGAATGATAGGAGATATAAAAATGTAAATATAAATAACCGTTCATAAAGGAGGGTTAGGATGGACACATGGAAGAGGGAGGTGGTACCTGCAGACAAAAATTCAGTTTAATTGAGATAGCAAATACCAGGCACCTGTGGGTACAGCACCATGCCAACTGCCAGGGGAAATATAGGGATAAATGAAACCCTTTATGAATATTACTTTTTTTTTTTTCTTTTGAGATGGGGTCACACTGTGTTGCCCAGACTGGCCTTGAACTGCTGGGCACAAGTGATCCTCCTGGCTCAGCCTCCCTGAGTAGCTGAAACTACAGGTGTGTACCTCTGAGCTTAATGTCTGTCATCGCTTCCTGGCCCCCCAGATGTTAACCTTCGTGGAGGCTGCAGGGGAGTTTTGGTTTGGATGATATTCCTTCTTTGGGATAATATCCCTTCTTTCCTTGTTATCATAAGCCTTGGAGAACATCTGGGCTGTGTGGCTGGGTGTTATTCCTGAGCTCTCCCACTCTGCAAGGTATATGGGATTCTGTCATGGGTCCCTTCACGATGTCTCTGTCTGCCCTGGAGGAGCCAGGTGGCTGGAAGGCAGGAGTCTCACTTAACCCATTTGTCTTGAGTAAGACAGAGGAGAGTGTTATCTCCAGCAGCCTTCAGACACAGCTGGGGAGCTGGGCTGGCAGATGTAGCTGCTTCCTGGTGGCCGATTATCCTCCAGCCTGAGAAGGTGGGGCTGTGAGAGCCAGAGGGACTAGCGAGGGCCGGTGGACACACTTGTGGTGGTTGGTGCTAATTGCAGAGGCATCCTTGACAGGGCTCCCGCCCTCACCGTCTCCACAGCTTTGGAGATGGAACATTGGCGAGAGACTGAGAATTGGTGCTGCTGATAGGGTTGATAGGGTTGATGGTGGTAGTTGTTTTAGTTAACTGAACAACAGACCCCATTTAGATTTTGCCATTTTTTTTTCCTATTAATATCCTCTTTCATTCCAGAATACAATCCTGGGCGTGCCCTTGTATTTAGTTGTCATGGCTACCCTGTCTCCTTTGGTCTGCAACCATTTCTTAATCTTTCCTTGTTTTTCTGTCTCTCTTAATTTTTTTTTTTTTTTTTTTGGTTCTGGGGATTGAACCAAAGGCCTTACATATGCTGACGTGTAGTCTACCACCGACCCACACTCCCAGCCCCATTTCCTCATGTTTTTATGACCTTGATGGTTTTGAGGAAACCTGGCCTGAGCATCCTACAGAGTGTCTCCCACTTTTTTTTTTTTATTTTGATGGGACTGGGGTTTGAACTCAGGACTTTGCACTTGCAAAGCAGGTGCTCTACCTAGGAGCCACACCTCCAGTCCATTTTGCTCTGGTTATTTTGGAGTTGGAGTCTCCAGAACGATCTACTCAGGGTGGCCTTGAACTGAGATCCTACTGATCTCAGCCTCCCAAGTAGCTAGGATTACAGCCATGAGCCATCAGCATCTGGCCCAAATTTGGGTTTGTCTTCTGTTTCTGTCATGGTTATATTGGAGTTATGAATATAACAATTGGTTGTGTTTGACATTGCCATCTGTCTCTACTGTGAAGCTATCATTCATAAAATGGTGCTTATCACCGTTTTTGATAAGCAAGGATTTTTTTTTTTGATGGTACGATACTGGGGTTTGAACTCAGTGCCTCACACTTGCTAAGCGGGTGTTCTACCATTTGAGCCACTCCACCAGCTCTAAGGATTGGTTTTAGTATAACAGGTTTAAGTTGGAAGGGGACATTTCTGGCTCCCCATGCAGGAAATGGAATAAATATTCCCTGTCGTTCCTCTTTTTATACTCTATTTTTAGAGGGCAAGTTACTAAGTTTAGCCTACTCTAAAGATGACGGGAAGAGTATCTACATATGTTAAGTGGAATCCCTCTGCAAGGAAGATTTTGGTATGAGGTTGTTAAAATAAAATGCTAACAGACTAACACATTCCTGTGCCAGACTTCTCTTGAGGTGACCATTATTCTGTTCATCTGGCCTGCCTTTTCCTTTTGTTTGCTATTGTCCTTATTCAAGAAAAGGTATTTCAAAGTCCAAATGACTAAAAAGCACATGAAAAAATGCTCACCATCCCTGGCCATAAAGGAAATGCAAATCAAAACCACACTAAGATTCCACCTCACTCCTGTTAGAATGGCTATCATCAAGAACACCAGTAACAACAAATGTTGGCGAGGATGCAGGGAAAAAGGAACCCTCATGCACTGCTGGTGGGAATGCAAGCTGGTGCAACCACTATGGAAAACAATGTGGAGGCTTCTGAAAAAACTAAACATAGATCTGCTATATGATCCAGCAATCCCACTCCTGGGGATATACCTGGAGGAATCTGACTCAGGTTATTTCAAAAGCACCTGCCTGCCCATGTTTATTGCAGCCAAGCTATGGAAACAGCCAAGATGTTCCACTACTGATGAATGGATTAAGAAAATGTGGTATTCATACACAATTTTATTCAGCCACAAAGAGAATGAAATTTCATCATTCACAAGTAAATGGATGGAACTGGAAAACATCATCTTAAGTGAAGTTAACCAGTCTCAGAAAGCCAAAAATTGCATGTTCTCCCTCATAGGCGGATTATAAACCCAAAACAAATGCAGTAATATTATTGGACATGGGTCACACACTAAGGGAGAATGTGCATGGGAGGAATAGGGAAAGGGAAGGAAACCTAAAACTTGAATGTGGTTGAT